ATATAATTGAATTGCAAATAGTAGTAGTGGGGTTTCTTTGTTACTACCTGTTGTTCTTTTTTGACGCTTTCGGGTATCGACTAAGAAAAAGAGCTTCGAAGGAATCTTGAAAGCCAGATCCGAAAAAATTTCACTTTCAACAACAGTGATGAATTTACACTAACTTGCAATTGTTGTAAGGACACTTAAAGGCCCAGTTCACGACGATTTCGAGGAACCCTCTTAAGTCGAATAGTGAATGTGTTGGTTGAGGGTAGTGCATCGGTGGCAAAGAAAGCGGGAAAGTCCGCCGTTCTCGTGAGAAAGAAGTTTTCCTAAAAGTAGTGGAAATAGAAGTTGTACGAGATACCGTAAATGGCATGAAAGGGTCATTCGGACGAGATTTCAGCTGCTGCGATTACGTAAGGAGCTGGCTATATCGAGCCAATATGGTTCAAAACAGTCTTCCACTGTCGCCAAGGATTCTGACAAGTTGCTTGAACTCTTCATGTGGGTTCCTTTGTGAACTTAGCAGCTTCTACAACACCGTTGAAACTCGTCTGCTGTGGGTGCGGTTTCACGCTATACAGTGTGAGGCCCTTAATTGTGCTCTATCCCAGAAGATTCTCGACCTGACATCGGCACCAGTAGGGGCCCCGAACCCTCTGATGGGGAAATGTCAGAAACCGTTTTTATCGTGAACTGTGCCTTTAAAAACCAATCATGTAATGAAAGGACGTATGCTAAGAGTGACCTTGCTAAAGCTGCCGACGATCCAAATTCATGCCATTCACCTGTCATATGCCTTCTGGTGTTGGGATGGAGATTGAAAGTATTCAGTTGAGTTTTCGGCTCATTAAGCACGTACTTTAGAATATGTTTTGCCTCCGGTGGAAGCCAGCGGAACAACATCGAATGTCATAGTTTAGCTTCAACGTGTCTATGACTTTACGATTTTTCGTGTTTCCTATGAAGGCTCGAAGAGAGCGCCCGTAGGAAAATCGGGTGCTCGCTTCGACGTGCGGGACACTTCTGAAGGGCGCGGTCACCTACAGGTTGACCATGTTTTTTCGAGCATTTATAATTTATTACTACCTACAATGCGACTGTGAGGTAAAATATCGAAACAATCATAGGTGGTTTGTAGCCGACAATGTAGCTCAGCTGTAGCTCTTACGAGAACCTGAGATGTGGAGACCTACCTCAGGTAGAGACTTGATAGGGAAAAAATCTACACGAAAGAAGCTTTGTCTAATTGAAGAGCCATGCCACTGACATTTCCCGCTCCTGACCATGCGCTCTCCTGCAAACCCAGTCAGCACGTTCTCAGAAGCCTCTATCAGAAAGAGCATCGCTCAACTTCTCGAGAATTTTTCGCAATCCTCTTTGGCTAATTTGGCTAGCTTACAATCTTGGTTGCAAGTAGCTTTTTTTCTCAAATAAATGATCTCTAATTGATATCACCTCACGCAGGAGACAAAGACGGAATAAATATAAAATGCCTGCCAACTTCGCAAAAATGCTTTTCAGGAGCAGAATCGTCATTGGCCAGATTCAAAACTTTTTGAAGAGACTCGGCGTGTGGTCAGCGCTCAATTGCAGCATATTACCTATAACGAATTCCTTCCCATTATGCTTGGGAGAGAAAATATCAAGTGAGTCGTGCCTAGCTTTCGATATTACAACTATGCCGTAGTTTNAACCAGCATGAGAACTGTCTGAAATCTGAACGGCTAATTCTCCAGTTTGTTCTTCTAACGCGTTCTTCTCGGCTGTACATATACGGGAGTACGTACTGCTAGCACTCTAATGCCGGGTCTCTAGCAATTGTGTTGAACTCCAAATGCTCGCACCCGCATTCGGAGTTCAACTCGATTGCTATAAACCCGGCGCTAGAGTGCTAGCAGCACTTTCGAGATAATGCATTTAGAAGTCAGAAATATCTCGAAAAATTACGACAAAGTAAGCTAGGTATTTTCAACTTCACATCAGCCATGCAGTGAAGTGGTGCTTCTCAGAAATTCGAGTTTCCGATTCCCCTGATGACCAAAGTCTTTTCCATGCACTAGTATGGCAGAACCATCAGCAGTTTGGAGAGCGAAGATGACTTTCAGGAAATACGGTCTATCGCTCCATGAAGCTGGCTTCGACTCTGACTATGATATGACCATTGATGGAGCAGTCTTGAACGAGTTCGCCGTCACTTTTCCTTACGTCCTCTGGTCTCTTTTACCGAAGGAATCTTTGTTCACTCAATTCAATAATCCGTCTAAGTTATACGAAAGTCGAGGCGTGGAATCAATCATGAGGTAGTTTATCTGTTGAGAAACTCATTAATCCGTTCAGATCTGACCAACTTCCATACAGGCTTCTGCTTTCAACAACGATAGCCAAACCAGCTCTGAGAGTCAACGACGAAGTTAAGGACGAGTTTTTGAAAGACCAGTTTTTGCTCGGCTTGGATCTAATAGCAATAGCATTGGAACGAGGCCGAGATCATGGCATTCCGGGCTACACAGCAGTCCGTGCTCAGTGCGGCCTTGGAAAGGTGGGTGTAATTGACGACGTAACGTTTTCAAGTGCTCTTGAGGCTTGCTGTCACAGTTTTACTACTTACTAGAGGTTTCGGTTGCTATTCAATCAGTTCGTTATACAATGTGAATTGAAATCACGAGCCAAAAAAATTAAAATTTCCTTGGAGGAGAATTACTTATTCATTTCACTTTATCCGCTTCCAGTAAGTTGGATATATGTTTTCTTGCAATCTATATGTTTAGTGGTGTAAGATTCCAATATGTTTAAGAAGTTGAAAGCTCACTAAGCGCAACTTGCGATAATTCGGCACAAATGCAGAAAAGTTCACTGTAATTCAAAAAAGGTCATACAGAAACGAATAAAACAATTAAGACGATGAAGAAAGCAAAATTCATCAGAAAAACAAGAAAGCGTAGATAGACCTGCTGTGTGTTTTTGAAATGAAGACTGATCAAATTCAAACTCAATCAAATTTTCCGTGCACAGATCGGTGGTAATCCTATGTAATTCAACAGAAAAATGGCAGCACAGCTGAAAGTCTCGAAGTCGGCGGGAAAGCGGATGTCAAGAAGAAGCTTGTTGTCTCTTCATTTCCATCGCTGACAAACATCTTAAGTTCAAAAATTAAGAAGGTTGCTGACCCGCTTCGATGGAAAAACTCATTAGATCATTGTTTCTCTTGCTGCTAGAGCTTTCACAACGACGTCAATTCTCCACAAACGAAACGATCGCATTCTGGCTGAAAACATCAAGAAGCCATCTCTCTCGGAAAAAGTGTTATAGTGATAACCGCAAAGTTTGATTTGATTCATGGTTTGGTCAAAGGTTTGGTGAAGATTCATGGGTAATGGTAAGATGTCGATGTTGATTTTCTTTCTTGGCCGACTTGAAGATTCTTGCNGGCAGACGGTCGGTCGAAGGGCTGAAAACGATGAAGAACAAGATCGAAAACCAAACAGCCAGGGGCTTGTACAAATGGTTTTTGATCTTGTCTTCGGCGGACTTTGAAAGCAGCCTATCTAAGGATTATAATGAACGGATCTATGAAGCCTTGTTGCGTTTCCCTTTCGAAACAAGTTTGGTGCTTCCAGCAGAGCACCAATTTCGCCTAACGAGCCAAATTCACTCAAGTGGGACTGACGCGAGTTGCCCGAGTTCATTGGATCCGAGGGAAGATTATCCTGCTCGTCAGGTGCTTCGCGCTTCGCGGACTTCGGAAAGTGGTTTTCTATCAACCTCCTTTCGATAACATCTCAATTTGGAGTCCTTGAAAGCGAGAGACTTGAGAACAGCAGAGAAGAAATGGAGGAGGAATATCTTCGTAGAACGTAAAGAGAGCTCGACAACAGACTTCGTTCCTGCGTCCGTGCTCATAAAGGTTGCCTTGAGATTTGGATGCAGCATTTTGCCCTTAACCTAAGTGGAAGTATGAATGAACCTCATCGTTCTTCCTTATACTACACTGCAATGAATGACCGCTTATGATTTTGGGATTCCCTCTGAATTGGGTTGGTTGGTATTTTCCGAAACACTTCACATTTGTTGCCATGTGAATTTTCTTTGATTACGCAAGAACTCAAGGGACAAGAGGTACCTGGTGTGGAAGCACGACGTTCAAGAGTTGACGAGCTAATCGTAAAGTTTTCAATACTGTACATTTAAATATATAGCTTCAGATGTCGGAAGTTCTTCGCAACTGAAAATCGCACTTTTGGGATTTCAAAACCTTTCTTGTTTACCACTCTTTCCTCGTAATGAGCTGCAGAAATGGACTTCCTTGCTTCGTAGAATTCATGTCATCGTGTTCCCGTCACCGCTCACAATTCAGAGAACAAATCGACTTGATGTTTGTTTCGCAAAGGCAAAAAGCTGGCTTTCAACAAAAAATAAATCAAAATTTAAGCTTTTGCTCACCCCGTTTTTTCGAGTGATACAACATTCACAGACCGCGTTTTGCGCTAAAAATTATAGGCTATTTCTATGTACATGGTGTAACTAGGATAAATGGTATTAGGTTTATGCATAATTATTGCGGATTTTTTCGCGGCTTTTTTTTCTCCAGATAGAATTTGAATAATGAGTTTGGGTTTTTTCCAAAAATGATCTACTTGATTTCCTCTTCAAGAATATACTCGAAAATCCATCCACATATTCGTGAAATAAGGCTTAACTACTTCGAGAAAGATTGGAAGGTGGCACAGTCATTCC